TACATCTTGAATTATTACGATTATTAAAACTTGAAAAAGCCGTTTAATTCTATGTAAAAAATGCAACACCACAATCCATAACTAAGATATTTGTCGCACAAGACTGAGTAATATGTTCATAGTTAATTAGTCATAATTTATAAATGGTCTCGAATATCTTACCAGATCAAAGGAATTTTATAATGCAAAACACAAATACAACGATTCGCCTGTTCTATCATTGTGGATAGAATGTACAAACTTGTTTCCTAAACATTTGTCCCTTAGTTTCTTAAACCCTTTCCTATGGTTCTTGCTAATATTTATTTTAGTTGGTAGAAGAATTGGTTATTGGTTGTGTAACTGGGATCCCTTTAAATGGATACTCTGAAACGACAGTATTTCGTCAAATCTTTTAAGATCCATTTCACTGCATTAACTTAGTGTGTGTTGTTAAGTTTTGAGCAACTTATTCTTTGTCCACTAGCTTATTCACTTCCTTGAAATATATCATAGCACTGTTCATTTTATCGACTCTTACTTATTTACAACTGTTTTTATCAAATTATTTATTATGCTATAGCAGCTATATGAAACCTATATCTTTAAAATGATCAATTCTTACCACCTAGAAAAGACTAACTAGCATACCTACAGTGTCTAACAAGGTTCAGGTTAATCACCTATGGAGCCATAAACTGATAACATTTCTTTTATAAATAAAATACCACATTTTAAGTTTTCTAGACATTTTCGTGTTTTGGCCACTTATTATACTCATATCTCACCAGTATGGCATAAATAATTTATGGTAAGGTTTATATTCTCTTTTTCAGGTTGGACTATACTGGCATAGCGTTTCTAAATTTAGGCTCGTTTGTACCATATTTATATTATTCATTCTACTGCATATTGTGGGCCAAGTTATTTTATATTATTTCGGTTGCCGTTTTGGGGATAGCAGCAGTCATTGTTTCAATGCATCCATCTTTTACTACACCTCATTATCGTCCTATTCGGGCTGGTGTTTTCATGGGATTAGGTCTTTCAGGAGTTATTCCATGCATTCACACAGTAATATTAGATGGATTCTTCCATTCTGTTATTCAAGGTTCTTTAGGTTGGCTTATTCTTATGGCCGTTTTGTATTTAAGTGGTGCAACCATCTACGCTGTCCGTGTACCGGAAAGACTATTTCCTGGACGTTTTGATATTTGGGTTAGTTTTATCGTATTGTATGTAATTATCTCTTTTTGTTTATTCCTGAACAGAACATTAATAGGAACTAAAATACAAGTAACTTCTGGATATTGAGATTTAAATGTTTTGTTGATAGTTTTATCCCATAGTGACATGTTTTTCGGCATCATTTTTTTGTTAAGTACATTATAAACGTCCTGTTGATTGCATGAAAATTCCTTGATGTACGTAATCTACTGTTGTTTTGTGTATATCGTTTTATATAGTATGGACGCTAAATGAATAAGTTCAGAATGTTTCATGTACACACTTAACCAGTAAATGAAATGCAACATTTGCATACGTCAGACTGAAATACTGTCTATTTTCGATGTCTTAGCCCATCGGACAGACATTAGTGACTAGTTGTCGCAACTGGACTCTGTCAAGTTTATTCTTGACAAATAGCATTTCTAAACATGAAGAGATTCTCTGACCTAGACACACCTCACCACAACATGGACACAAATAGGAATTATTGCTGTTAGTCGTTGCTAGAAGGGGTCAGTAGAAAACTCGCTCCTTAATCTCACACTTAAACTCTGACTATGCTGTAGTACGAACATGAAAATTTTACGCCTTACTGGATGTAGAAAAATTACAACTAGAAAACCTCTGAGATTCTTTTGATTCCAAGTTTGGCATGTTTATCAGGCTACTGATTAGAAAATCAGTGATTCTCAAAATCAGGAATGAATGAAGTTGCCTGTTTGCATCAAGGGTAATTGATTGGGAAATACTTAGATTAGAATGCATCTTACTGATCTGAAAAAGTTCAATCTTGACTATAGAAGGACAGTCACGAAACTAAGACATCTTAAATTTTAAGGGTTGTCTGCTTTTTTATTAAGGCTTTCTAGCGACCATAATAAAATTCATTTAAAACCTAATCCGTTTAAGTAATATAGTTGTCACTACCAAGATTTGACTTGATAACTTCAAATAAGTTGAGTATTCGATAGGTCATTCTAAATAAAAAATATATTTTAAATTTTCTGACGTTTCGTGATTCGATGTAAGTCACTTCTTCAGAGAATAAACAACTAAACTTATGAATTTGAAAATTAGCATCCATATATATAGATTCTTTTTCAGCGTCGTTTAAACACTAACTTCAATAGATTGTTGTATATTCCTTCAATAAATTCAATAGTTTCATAAGTTCATTTTCAAATCTTTAATTCATGTTTATCTGTTTAGTTTCAAAGTCACCAAATATTTCATGTGTTCGCGGTGGTTGCAGCTTTAGTTCACTACCACGGTTTAGTTAAACTTGCCGACTACCGTCTATCTACTGGCGATTGTAAACCTGTTGGACTGAATTTCGATTCAAATCGATTAAAAATGTTCGGTCTGGATATATTTCCTAACACATGATTAAATATTTCCACAATATGAAAAAGTTATTATTACAAGTGATTACATACTTGAGATATATATATGTCTATTGACTGATCATATATCTTTCATTTGATTTATATTATACCCAATACACAGCATCTCAATATTTTCGGATCGAAAGTCTATGATTTTTATTCTTATTAGTGCTTTTCTGAAGACTATCATACTTACTTTATGTTTGTTATCTTTTTCATTTTTATATGTATATTTATATTATTAATGGTCCGTGTTTATCTAGTGTGACTCTTCGGAATATTAGGTCTTTGAATAAAAACAACTTTTCACTATCACGTTATCTTTCGTAATTGTCATTTCCAACATGGTTTAGATTGTTATTTCGAGATTTTACATGGTTTTCTTTAAAATTGGTACATCCTTTACTTTGTAATTTACATGCATAGTTTCTTAGCGTGTATTTACCTCGTGTTCTGTATTGGACTGAGTCAAGCTTTGCTATCAGGATTTACGTCACTCATGTCATCCAGTTGTCTGGATCTGTTTTGTTTGGAACATCAGTAACACTAAGTATGTACTGTTTTACATACTGCTTCAGGACAGCGAAATAAAACTGACAGATCGAAAAGCAAAGTCACAATGACAGTAGATTCACTGATAGTAAGACTAAAAGCAGGAAATATGGCTTGACAAGGAAAGAGATAAAATGTATGAAGTAATACTCTGCGATAAAACAAATAATGAACTTATCTGTCAGTGCGATCGTTCAGGACCAAGTCGAGAAAACCAAACCTATGTATATAAGAGTACATCTAGCCCCTGTTCATTTTGGTCCGTAACAGATCTTTAAACCCCTTTCCCTTTGTATGTACCACATTCGTATGATTTGACGATATTGGTTATAGCTCACCACCTTACAGTGATTTTTCTTAATCCCTTAATGATATTTCAGCTCTACACACTTTATATTTATGTTGCATTCTATGTAAAAGCATACTACTGTCAGACAGTTATCACTGATGAATTCAATATATCTATGAAACCCTCAACCTTTGTATTAATGTACCAGCCAGGTTGACTTAATTTCTATTTGAATTGTATTTACGAGGATCATCAGCTCAGGACCTAATGTAGACAATCAATAAAACTACTGTGTTGTTTTGAACTCATTAATCAGGTCTAAGGTTTGTTTTTTTCGCATGAGCTCCATTAATAACTCCGCCTGAAGTCCCTCCGGGGGCTACTGCCGGTCCCAAGCCCGGATAAAGGAGGAGGGTTGGCATGGGGTTAGCGTCCCCATCCCGTAGAAAACTAACTCGCTAAAAAAACGCTAACCAGAAAAAATTATTCAAACCTTTTAAACTCTGCCCTGGGAGTCAGAAGGTCTTCATTTAGAAGAACTATGACGCCTCATGATGAAAGCCGAATCCCTTCGGAAGTTACGAGGCCGATGCCCCTTCTGACAACCAGAGTGACCATTTATTTAGGTACATGGAATGTTCGTACAATGTGGGACACCGGGAGAGCCTTCCAAATTGCTGCAGAAATGAAGAGATACAACCTAGAGGTGCTTGGGATCAGTGAAACACATTGGACACAAGTTGGACAACAACTAGCTTCAGGGGAGCTTCTGTTATACTCCGGCCATGAAGAAGAAAATGCCCCACATACACAAGGAGTTGCATTGATGCTGTCCAAACAAGCACAAAAGGCACTTATAGGATGGGAATCTCATGGACCAAGGATCATCAAAGCCTCCTTCAAAACAAACGGAGAGGGCATTTCAATGAACATCATCCAATGCTATGCGCCTACCTACGATTACAATGAAGACGCTAAAGATCAATTCTACGATAGGCTGCAGTCAATCATCTAGAAGTGCCCAACAAAGGACCTGACCATCCTGATGGGAGATTTCAATGCCAATGTTGAAACGGACAACACCGGATATGAAGACATCATGGGACGACACGGACTTGGAGAAAGAAACGAAAATGGTGAGAGATTTGCAAATCTATGTGCCTTCAATAGACTGGTAATAGGTGGCACTATATTCTTACATAAACGCATTCACGAAACCACATGGACTTCACCGGATCACACCACGCAAAACTAAATCGACCATATTTGCATCAACAAAACGTTCAGGAGGACGATGGAAAACATGAGAACCAGGAGAGGAGCTGATATAGCATCAGACCATCACTTGCTGGCCGCCAAGATGAAATTGAAACTCAAGAAGCACTGGACAATGGGGCGGACAATAAGTTCCAGGCCTTTCATGATCTACTCAACAGCGAAGGAACTACTATGGAGAGCAACTGGAAGGGTATCAAAGAGGCTATCACTTCAACATGTCATGAGGTCCTGGGCCACAAGAAGCACCATCACAAGGAATGGATCACTGTTGATACACTGGATAAGATTCAAGATTTAACAACGATGGCGGAAAAGGCTGCAAGAGAAGGAAACATGAGACAACTGTATGACATAACAAAGAAGCTCTCTGGAAATCGCCGCAAACCAGAACAACCAGTGAAAGGTAAGGAAGGTGACGTAATCACCAACATCGAAGAGCAACGAGACAGGTGAGTAGAACACTTCAAAGAACTCTTGAATCGACCAGCCACACTGAACCCACCCAACATCGAAGCAGCACCCACGGACCTCCCAATCGATGTTGGCCCACCAACAATTGAATAGATAAGCATGGCCATCAGGCAAATCAAGAGTGGCATAGCAGCAGGACCAGACAACATTCCAGCAGAGGAACTGAAAGCAGACTTAGCGGTAACTGCAAAGATACTCCACATTCTCTTCAATAAGATTTGGGATGAGGAACAAGTACTAACAGACTGGAAAGAAGGACTTCTGGCCAAAATACCAAAGAAAGGCGATCTCAGCAACTGTGATAACTACAGGGCCCTCACTCTTCTCTCAATGCCGGGAAAAGTATTCAACAGGGTATTGTTAAACAAGATGAAGGACTGCATAGACGCCCAACTTCGTGACCAACAGGCAGGATTCCGTAAGGATAGATCGTGTACAGACCTAATCCCAACACTACGGATCATTGTGGAACAATCAATTGAATGGAGTTCATCACTCTATATCAACTTCATTGACTACGAAAAGGCATTTGATAGTGTGGACAGAACAATACTATGGAACCTTCTTTGACACTACGGCGTGCCTCAGAAGATAGTCAATATCATATAGAATTCATATAATGGATTAAACTGCAAAATCGTGCATAGAGGACAGTTGACAAAGTCGTTCGAAGTGAAGACCGGTGTTAGGCAAGGTTGCTTACTCTCACCCTTTCTCTTTCTCCTGGTGATCGACTGGATCATGAAAACGTCAACATCTGAAAGGAAGCGCGGGATACAATGGATATCTAAGATGCAGTTGGATGATCTAGACTTCGCAGATGATCTCACCCTTCTATCCCAAACGCAACAACAAATGAAGGAGAAAATGAACAGTGTGGCAGCAGCAGTAGGTCTCAATATACACAAAGTTAAAAGCAAGATTCTCCGATACAACACAGCATGCACCAATCTAGTCACAATTGACGGAGATTTGGAAGATGTAAATGCTTTACATATTTGGGCAGCATCATTGACGAACAGGGTGGATCTGATGCAGATGTGGAGGCGCGGATTGGCAAAGCAAAAGCAGCATACTTACAGCTGAGGAACATCTGGAACTCAAAGCAACTGTCAACCAACACCAAAGTCAGGATTTTCAATACAAATGTCAAGGTAGTTCTACTGGATGGGGCGGAAACCTGGAGAACTACGAAAGCCATCATCCAGAAAATACAGGTGTTTATTAACAGTTGTCTACGCAAAATACTTCAGATCCGTTGACCGGACACTATTAACAACAACCAACTGTGGGAGAGAAGCCAGATCCCAGCGGAGGAAGGAATCAGGAAGAAGCGCTGGGAGTGGATAGGACACACATTGAGGAAAGCACCCAACTGTGTCAAAAGACAAGCCCTCACATGGAATCCCCAAGGCCACAGGAGGAGCGGAAGAAGAAAGAACACATTACGTCGAGAAATGGAAACAGACATGAGAAGAATGAACAACGATTGTATCTAACTAGAAAAGAAGGACCAGGACAGAGTGGGTTGGAGAATGCTGGTCGGCGGCCTATGCTCCATTGGGAGTAACAGGCGTAAGTAAGCATGGGGTGGCACGTGAGCCTGTGACTCCAAACGTTGAAGAGCTTTATTCTAGAAATTGCCGCTCTCCTTATTACATTATCATTTCCTGAGTTACAGTCTAGGAAAGCTGTCACACTTAAAGACTCACCAACCTGATTAGACCAATCGATTGTCCCACTAAAGACATCAACCTGGAGGAAGACAATGTATACAAGATAGTAGTTAAGTATCAGGAATCGGATCGCGATTCACTTGAAAAAATCAGTCTAAATAAAAAAGATAAGTCCTGAAAGTATGATGTAGTATTATCCAAAGTCTGAATAGTCCCATTATTACTTATTAGTCCTAAAGATGTAAATGCACAAAGGAAGTTGTTATAGCTCGACGCAAATAAAAATCGCATCACTGCATTATTCAAGTGATAACATTTACCGTCAATATATATATATTGATATACCTGAGGAAAACTGGTAATTGCAATAGGAAAACTTAGATTCTCACGACGTACGGAAGAAGACAACGACTGAGAGCACATTGACAATCTTACATAAACCCCGTAAAGAAGACAAATTATAGACCAACTACACTCGTTTTTACAGACTTCACTGGCCTACGATAATTAGTGAATGAAAATAATAAAAAGTAGATTTTACACTGAATATAAACAAACGGGTGCTGTATGTTATATTAAATGAGTAACACACCAAACTGATACAAGAGAATATTATACTGAACAGATATCACACTAAATACAATCTGGAGTTTCCTACTATTTTAACATATATTTAGTCTTTTAAATTATTGTTTCGTAATGCAACAATAATTTATAACATTTCAGATAAGAAACCGATTAGCGGCATTAACTGAAAGAAAAAGGTGAACACGTAAATACAAAAAATAGATTCTAAAATGCGCCAAATAATTACGAAGTTCCATGTAATATGAGTGACATAAACTGAAAGAAGACTACACAATTTATACATACTTACCGTTAGTAAACAGAAAATAACTTGTGAAAATTGCTTAACAAATAAAGCCAACCATACAGAAGCTTATCATAGTTCACTATTGTGGAACAGGAAAACGTTCTGTAAATTAACTGTTGGTAAAAATAGTTGTGGTAGTTGAATGTACACCTGTTTTTCTCAGGTTTACATTAAAGTACTAGTATCCTGAGTACATAGAGCACACATATATTCATTTATTACTAAAGAACTAAATGTCCCCCCCCCACAAAAACTATTAAGTTAAAATAGGTTCTTTAAAAAAAAGAAAACAAAATTCATAATTTTAAAATTAGAGGAAAATTAACTGATCCAGATAGAGATTGTTTTGTTTTACTTTACATCTCCGTATGTTTTAGAAAAACAAATCAGGTTAATGATAATTAAACATTCTTGCCAGTTGTTCAGGTATTAGTTAATTCATTAATGTTCATTTTGTAACATACGTATACATATCACAATAGCTTGCCGAGAAACAGCGCAACTAATGGTAGCAATAAGAAAAAAAATGCAATAACAATTATTTGACGAGTTTTATTCTCCCTTAAGATTACCTTCTTTACCATTCGACTGATATGTATTAGCATTTGTTAAGCTTCGACATTGATTTGCCTTCTTTTACTCAAGGGTTATTAATAACATGTAATATATACGAGGGTATACTGAAATTTTCCTTGGTAAGAATCTCATCCGATGGACGACAATCACCTTCTGATAATCTATAAGTAGAAAGTTGAACTACTCCATGATAGTGAACAAACGCTGCAGCAATGACGAATACATGGAAAATTTGATGACTTTGGAACTTGTAAACAAGAAATAGCAAAACAAATTATTTAATATTTTAATCCTAAAAATACACTCGAACAGTAAGTGTCGAATGATTATCAAAAGCTTATAAATAAAATGCGGACGTTGTCATTGGCACAAACACGAGTGTGAGTCTAACTCTCACAATGATTCCCATTACAATTATCTCAATTCCTTTACTATTCTCATCGTCTTGCAGTGCTTTAGTATGGACATTTGGGCTAATTTACATAATGTACTAGACTTTACGTTGACTATGACTGATCGATATAAACAAAAAACATTTTTTCAACGATTAGAGTAATCTACGTTAAATAAATTTAAAACGAGCTCCAAATGCACATTACATATACCAACTTTAAAATGGGGTAATGACAAGCATCCGAAACCCTTTTTAGTTGTTATTGAACCTTAACAAATTTGTGTTATGCATAATAAACTCACGTTATTACAATGAATACTATCAAATAATCGTACTTTTCTGTAGTCTACAGTCACCCCATATTAATCGATTTACTAAGTACTGTTACGACACAATAAAGTGTTAAAAGCATGAAAAATTGAAATATATTCCTTTTACACTACATTTATCCATGTTTGGTAATTAAAAGATATTTTAATAATGATAATTAGCGGCTGTTCGATGCTCTAGCTAAAAACACCCTCATAATCGACCGCTTTGACATATGATATATATTGAAGTTTTCAGCATCAATTGAAGTTGTAGGAATTAAAGTTTCCCTTCTGGTAGAGAACCAATACGGACGGTAGCAGCGAACTCATCAGAAGCGATTTACTAATAGCAGCCACGTAAATGAAATGAAATGTGTGATTATTCATATTTTAAGGTTTGATAATCAGTTAATTCATTGAAAAAAATAAGGCCTGGAGTAGCACCTATTCTACGGCGAGGAACAAGCAATTTGAACAGTAGTCTAAAGGTACATTGCTCGTCCTCAGTCCTAAAAATCATGTAGGTGGGTCGTCCCTGTACCTAGTTTTAGGCATTAACGTCAGTTCTTAGCGAAAATTACTTGTGAAATATACGAAAACCTCCGAAGAACCACTTAAAATTAGTAGTTTTTTATTTACAAAGATGATCATTAAAGTACCTGATGTGAACAGACTAAAACTCTATGTACAAATGAAATCCCAAATAGGTACAATCTTTTTTGTTTGGAGTAGTAATATACATCATCCGATTGCTAAATTGAATTTGTTTTACTCAAACGTTACTTATTTGAATTTTATAGAAGTTCATTTCTTCATGACTTCATATATTTTATACTTTTATCCGTCGAAGTTATCCGTTCATCTTATTATGTATCGTGATTATTAATATAACTTCTTTTCGTGTTATTCGTATTAACCATATTATCGATTCAGACTATTGATGAGTATATCATATTATGAGTGTGTTAGAAGTACCATATATTCTTGTCATTTATGTCCAGTGAGTGAATTAACATGAAATTTCTTGAAAAGTATCGTTGAAGATTGTTTTATGATTTGCTATCCGTTTTTATCCTGTTTTAGTGAGTCTCCACTTCTTAGTGATCACAAACTAGAAAACGTGATTAGAATTGAGCTCTGTATTCTGATTTCGCACAAGTTAACATATTAACGGTATACAAAATTGGTTAATAATAATGATAAACATGAGATTATACTTAAAAATGTAAAAAATTGTGATAATGAACATATCATGTCACTGAACGGTTAAAGTATCATATTAACAATGGAATCCAAGTGTTTTAAGACGAATACTTTGAGGAAGTTCCCAGTACAATCCGCTGAATCTAATTAAGCGACATGAAACTGTTGGCAGCAGACCTGAATGATATACTAGTTACTGTCTAAGGATTAATTTCAGAGAACTCGATTTTTTTAAAATTTCTGACACAAGATTAACTGTATCTTGGAACACAATTTTGTCTAAACAACCATTTTACGTGTTAATCCGTAACATAAAAATCCTAGTTGATTGTTGGGAATGCTATATCCTCACATATAAGAAATTCGATCTTAATTTTGCATTTCGATTCAAAGTGATTCTCGTTTAGTTAACCTCAACTCTTCGTGGAGAATCTTATTCAACAACTTTCAGTATATCTGTTTGTTTGATTTTCAATGAGTTCTTTCTGTACTGATTATTTCACGATAATTAGTATTCATTGATGATAGCAAAGTTAGTAAAACTCTAATTAATAATCACTGAGTTTATGTACAGCTAAATTAGCTTGAATGTGGCATCTTCTTTGGTCTCGTCTAATAAATCTACATAACAAGATCCGTCTTTTGGAGTAGATCGGGGGGGGGCTAGAAGCGAGCATTACTGTCATACATAGAGTACCATAATTGTCGTTAGCGTTATCGCCACATATCCCGCTCGGTTAGAAACACAGGAAAAATGAACTGCCATTTATTAAGCAATAGATAATTACATACGATTTTTAAAAATCCTCTTATGCTTTTACAGTGATTACATATTATTTTCTAATTAATATCAATCAACTTGTTATCTACATTGAAGGCTTATCTAGTCCTATGAACAGTTTCTTTTCACAGAATAAGCAATCATTCTTGTTAATGATTTGAATAACATTTGCTTTTATTCATAAATAACTTTAAAAACTACTGTAATTATCAAACAAAAAATGTATATAATAGTAATTGTGTAATTCCAAAAATGACACTGACGAAAAGTGGTATTTCCGCTTAACAATTTAATGATATTTTACGTTTTAAATGATCGATTCTTTACACAAGCATACATACTATACTTAGCATGGTAAATTAAGTATCACACACACGGAAATGTACACCCGGAGAAAAAATTAACCTCAGATACTGAAAAACCTGAACATTGTACACAAAAATGGTAATTTTTCAGATGGACTACTTATTTTCTGCTTTTGTAACAAACTAAGTGTATTAAAAATCATTTAGTTTAATGTAAAAAAAACTAGTGAGACTTAACTAACCCACAAATCGAAGTGACCGCGGAAACATCGTTCAGGTACACGTGCAGCATAAATGGAAGCACCAGAGATATAAAGTACACCCATCAAAACAAGCCAACCAAATGAAAGATGATTGACTGATTGCCAAAATCCATTTAAAATGGTAGAGTGCACAGATGGGATTACACCTGAAAGACCGAGAGCTATAAAAACTCCCGCTCTTAAAGGTCGATAAGGAGGAGTGGAGAATTTTGATGACATTGAAATAATAATTGCAGCAATACCCAACACTCCGATTAAGGCCAAGTAAAACACTTTAGCCCAAAATACACAGTAAAATGAGTAGTATAAATAAGGCACAAAGGAGCCTATTGTTAAGACAGCTATTCCAGTATAATCCAGTCTATAAATAAAATGGTAACATACACAGTTAATTAGTACTATGAATCACTTTGATCAAGTCAAACCTTTATCACTTGGCAATGTAATACACTTGGAGCAACCTTTTTTTAAATAAACATTTACAGCAAATTCTACGCACAAGAACGTCATTCGGATTTTTCTGAAATTACAGTGGCATGCAGAATGTATGTAGGTACTTTCACCAAGTTCTTTGGAAGGGAGTATAATTAACTTCTTTGATAGTTTGCACCTGTTAGTTAGGCGTGGTATGTACCGATGTGAAAAAGTGGAAGTGTTTTTTTTTGGGGGGGGGTTAATGTATACAAATACATGACGTTTCTTAGATGAACTGTCGAGTAGTTTACGAGGTTTGATTAAATTTTATTTACTAGAATATAAGATATGAAAACAGACTTATACATCGAGATTTTAAACTTAAGTATGGACTTACCTTTCTGCTTTTATTTCAATATTTTATTTTTTTAATTTGTATTAACCGACAGTTTTACACTATTACAACGATTATCGCTAAGCAATTTGGCAACCAAGTGCAATCTCATTTACTCATATTTAAAATGAATGCTGGTGATACTACCTGGTTGTTCAAAGTGAAGGACGTCCAACGTGGTTCGAATCTGCAACCTAATACACGACAGCCAATTACATTGACCGTTAAGTGATTACTTCAGTGAACTTTTATAAACTATTATTTTAATACATGACACTATGATCTAGGAACTATTTATTCACAAAATATCTCAATTGACAAGTCATTGAGTAATGGATTTCTACTGAGTAATCAGGTCAAATAATAATAAAAGCACTGTTTATCAATATATACGTATATATGCATATTTCATTTTCATTACTTGTTCATAATTTTTGCCACATGCTCAGAATGACAAGATATTGTATGAAAAAGACAGGAGAATCCTAGACAGCATACTGCTCCAACAATGAACACTGAGTAAACAAGTTTATCCTGCCATTGTAATAAGCTGCTTGGCTGTGAAAGTACAAAGATTAATATGACGGTAAAGCTGAAACAACCTAATTGTATGAAAAGAGCGACGATTAAGTTTAGTATAATAAACAGACCTATAAGATGTGTCCATATATTACCAGTTTCAGTATGAATACGAAATATGGACTTTAAACAAGCCCATACATTGTTTAACTGAGGTCGATGACCATGTAGCAACATATCGTTGTCTTTTAACCATGCAGGCAATCTATGAAAGTTCACCACTTCCCATCCACTCATCCATAAATGACGTGCAACTTCTTCAGCTCTATTCGCCATAGCTTGCACCTTCTACAAAACATCGGATGATAATTACATTAATTAAATCATTTTGCAGTATAAATGGTATTTTTTGTAATAAGTTAATGAATATTATACATATATATATATATATATATATATATATATATATATATATATATATATATATATATATATATATATATATATTTCGCGCATTCTAGTACCAATATTTATGTGTTCAAATAAACAAATAAATATAAGACTATGTTTAAGTTGCTATTTCAGGAAACAAACGAATAAAAAATAATCTTGTTTCTGCGTAAATCAATAATTTTACACAAAAATCATGGGAAGCATTCAATTTCAGTAGTATACCTAGTTCCTAAAGCATAAAGCTAATGAAAAGGCTTGAAGTAAAATGAACTGATTTCGTTTTGCAAATCTTGCTGTGTTCGTTTTCACTACGTTTGAAGAGATTACGAGATCACCCTAAATCGGCAAACGGAACGAAGGATCTGCAACACAACGAAAAGACAAGCTAACTATTCCAATGCGTCCCAGCCCCACTAACTAGAGGGAGAAGTCCAGGTTCATATGTGGGGGAGTATAGTCCACAAGCAGCCAGAAGCACAAACGACAACAAGCAGACAGCTCAAGCGTATATGTACAGTCAGTCAGTCAGTAACAACGTAAAACTTCGTATGTACGTACATCAGTTCGAGTTGCTACACCACATCACATAGATACAGTTGTCGATTCAAATCCCATAGTGGTAGAGGTAGTAAGAGTATAAGCAGTAATCGGAAACACTAGGGTTTGAAGATGTTATCCAAGGAGTATAATCCGGTGAAATAAATTTGGAAAGCGAAAAAAGGGACACGAAAAATTCAGATTAGAATGTATACAGTACAGAAATGTCCATAGGAAACGTCACAAAATAGCATATTAAAAGAGGGAGCGAACCAATGACATACAAGGTCCTACCAAGTGGGAAATACAGTAAAGTGTAAATGGGAGCTTTTGGCGCGAAAATGAAATTCAAGCTTCCAGAATAAAATTACAAAAATAAGACGTTTACTAAGCGATTTCTGTGGATCTAGCATCTTCAACAGTTTTTTTAAACAAAATAACACTAGGTATTTGAATTATAGTAATTTAGTTGGGGTAAATTCTTTATTGAATAAAGAATAAATGGTTTTTACTGGCATTTAATTGAAAAGTAACAATTTTTCACCAGAGTGAAATTAGGAGTGACACTATCAGAGGAACTCAAATACGAGATTAAAATGTAGCACTTTCAAAATGTATGTTACTTTATTCATGTTGACTCACATTTATTTAAACATAAATATTAGTACAAAGGGACACCGAATATATATGTGCCACACAAGTCACATGATTTGTGCGTGGGCTGTGCTTCATGAAGAAGCACTCAGGTGCCCAGACCGAAGCAGGGGTGTTAGAATGAACGTTGATGCATATTTTCCTTCCACCGAGTCTGGGCATTACTATTGTAAGTTCAAGCTTAATTTTTATGCCTCAAGATATCGTATTCCGGATATTTTTATGGGCCGCAACTTCCAATATTAATTCACGTAGTTGCTTCTCTCGTAGCATTTTACAATTTAAGGGCACGTAAATCCCTTAGGATATGTGCTCCTATCTTCATACTTGTCATAGAGGTTTTAAACACGATATCATTCTTGTTAATTACAAGTAAATTTTATAAAAGCTGACTTTCACCATAGGTACCGTGGTTGCGGGTGGATATGAGGCTACGGGAATAACATTCAACGAGATAAATGCTGTGGCGTCCGGAGTTGCTCAGACACTTATTGTTTCTTTTCTCTGCTACACGCATTCCATCCACGCTATATTTGCGAATATTGAAGTTTTGAACTCATGTTTGGTTTTATACGGACAAATTCCCTCACCACTCTTACTCTTATATTCTAGTCAAAATAATTTTTTGTACACTTCTTTTGAATTGTCGTAACAGTATGACAATCAGAGTCTGACATTAGTGTAGTGTGGTATTATGAGCGATATAATCATCATATGTGGCTGAAATTACTGATTTTTTAAAATCATAAACTGCTACCCACCTACTTACTCAAGCCTGGTTAATGTCTGCGTGATTTTTGTAACCAGCGCTTAAGACTTTGAATAACGAAGCTCCAAGTCGTTTGCAATGGAACAGGTGCATCTACCTATTGTTTTACTCAAGATAGTATGCACCTGTTGATTCATAATGAATAAATTATTTCTTAACTCCAGTAAAGTCTATGTCTAGGAAAGATAAGTACTACTTATATACGATTTCGTTAGTGAATAGGATAGCTTCATGTACTTTGTTATTTGATGTATTTTGTCTCCTTTTGTTTCATGTCCATCTTTCAAACACAGCAATGGTGATTTTATTACATCAGGTAAAATCAAACTAATGTAAACAAAAGATATACCCATTATTAATGCATATTAATTTTCATGATATTCCGCTTTTTCCTGTTGTATCATATCTCTAAGTGTGTAATTATGTACACATTTTGATCATACTTCGTCACATTATTACTTGTCTCAGTCTGAAATTAACACAATTACATGCTACTAATTGCTTTAATAGTCTCAGGAAAATAAATAACCATGAAAATTCCTTCGTTTCTAAGCACTATTAACCAAATGAGGATTTTTCCAAATGAATAAATTTAGCGAATGTGAGAAAGCACTAAAAAGACTTAACGTGTCCTTGAATTGAAAAGTTTGGGTAGCGAAATTAAGCAAACTTAGAATTAAGGGTTGCAGTCAACTTAATAAAAAAATCTCGACATGAAAAAAGATTTTAGTAAACTGTGGATATTGAAGCAGTAGTTAGAATAGGAAAGTTTAGTCATGACGACATGTGTACAAATGTTTGTAGTTGACGTTAAATTACCTTCCACAGACCTATGTTTAGTTGCTTGTTTCGAAAAGTGCTGAATCTAAGACGAGATAAACTAGGTTGAAAATATTTCAAGTAGCAATTAAGAGGAAACTGGTTTATCCCCTTTTCCTCATATATCACAAGTTCTTGATATCCCACTATAGCACAGGGTTTGGATGGAGATCCGGAATATTAACAAGAGCAAGGTTCAAGTCCGAGGGTAGAGTTGTAATTCTAATTAAACTCAAATGTGGCAGAAGCAAGACAATTCCCATGGATTACTGGTGTCTCAGTATGGACATGAAAACCCAAAGGAACACAGTGAAAACAATAACCTAAAATGTGTGAACAATTTTAGATTTCTTGAAGTTCATTATTAGGTTTCTAGTTTGATCGACAACAACGAAGTCTTTTTCCGGTTCTATCAACTAAACAGCTTCCAACATCCAAATAGCAAGTTTTGGCCGCTAGTAAGCCAGTCTAAGCACGAAAAATATTGAGTCATGTCAACGAAACCAATTTAGTTGTGGCTACTAGGAAAACTTTGAGACTACAACAACCAAAAGTTATGATTAGTTAGACTAAATTACGTTTGATGAATAAATACTAACTGGTAAATCTAACTAGCCTTGGAACTTTGTGCAAATCACCAAGAAACATACTTTTACATCTCCCGCTAGTCGCAGAGTTTTCAACCATCTAAGAATCTGGACCGCATTTCCAATATCACGTTAGCACAAAGTCAGAGCTTATTTTACTTTTAGGGTCTGTGAGTGAGCAGCTCGCTCACAGACCACTCATTGTGACGGTCACACGGACTGTCTACAATAATTCTAACTGGGTAGTCCAAGCTATTTTCTGTGATGCAACGAAGGCGAAGTACAAGCACCAGTCGTTCCCGCTAACACAAAAAAGGATGTTTTAATCCCAGAACGGCACGAAAGAAAAACCATGATAACAATTCTCAAATACGTTGTGTTTACCTAGCTAACGATTTCGCGGAGCCAGTGGAGATATTCTGAGTCAACTAGTGTGCTATCCAATCCTATACAAACACTTGGCCCCACATAATTTTGGCTACACGCAATCAATGTTAGCTTTCTGCACCAGAAACACAGTAAACGACTGACATTTAAGTCTGGTACTATGGACTCATCAGCTAGGTTGAATACCATCTGAATAACGTCAATGATTAAAATCTACTAAGATTTTGGTATACATACAACTAGATTGTGCAAGTAAACCATTGTGTAATATGTGCACATTCCATATATTTGTTGATAAATCAGGCACACCAGAATACTAACCTCAATAAGCTGAATGTTATTCAGATATTCTGAACAGCCGAATGCTTCTTCATGATAACCTTCCGAATACTGAATATTATTTAGATATTCTGAACAACCGGATGCTTCTTCATGGTAATCTTCCGAATACTGGGCACTGACTTCCCCCCAAGAGCCTACGTTTTCGTGAAATATTCGATCACATACCACCAGCAGGTGTTTTCGAGGACTTTCCTGAAGTCAAACTGTCTGATTTTACAACTGTCATTACAATTCTCGTCCATCCAGTAAAGTTTGTTGAAAGGCCGCCAGATGACCTTGTGACTTGGGAAGCTACCCCATTTAGGTCATTCGACCAAGTTCAGGAACAGTTATTTTGACACCCTCTCTGTTTTTCTACCGATTCAGTATTCGAAACATGTTAATCAAATAGATCGATTTTTTATTTTTGAAATGCAGACTGTTTACTGTGAAGCGGCCAAGCCGGTTTTCAGTTTTATATTAAGGCTGTTCAGGAAATTCGTTGTTTTTAATTACTACTAAAATAGTGGTTGCCGGTGTAGCGGTAAATAAATCCCCAAGATAAATAGCCCTGTAAGTTTTCGACATTGGATGCTGACCATATGTTTTAGTGGACTCATCTAGCTGAAGGCGCTCGGTCATGCATCCGCACCAGATCACGTGTGGTAACGCTGTGCTCAACTGCTACTGCAATCGCTAGCCGGATTAGATCAGAGAATTCCGATATATTGGTTATCGCCAAATACACTCTTCCGATCTCCTCGACTCTGTCTTTTGATTTCTTTCGGTGGGTACAAATCATATTAGGTGTTACTCGTAGACGCGTTGTCAAACACTGAATACTGGTGTCATCTTCACCGGTATATTGGAACGCTCACTGTAATATAGATCTTTCGCTTCTTGGGAGTTTAATTTTATCACTGATGTTAAGCTATAATAATCGGTATGTTGTAATGTTTCTTTGTACATTTCTACACATGTATTCGGAATACTCCTGAACTGCTGAAATTTACCACTGTTCTTGCCCAAACGGTCACCAATTACCATTGTTTCAATGATATACTCGCAACTATCTTCAGCCTCAGAAAATGAGGAATCACTGCAATTCCTACGACGCGAAGTAAGGACAATGAGAATGATACAAATGAAGATTTATCAGTCCCAAAACAAGATGATGATTCTACTCAAAAAATCACTCATCATATATTAATTGTACATCCACTCTAATTATAGATTAGAATAAAACCACGTTTATGAAGAATATCCAGAGTTACGACAAATCATCTGCTGTGTGTCACGCTAACTATTATTCACGTTAATTTAATAAATTAATGTCGTATATTGCATAAACATCACAATCAAATAAATTAAAAGCATAACAAATAAGATATCACACTGGTAAACATAACAAATAATACTCTGAATGATCGCTATATAACATTTCAAAAGGAAGTAATGTTAACCAAAAATTATAAGTCGAAATTCAAAATCGACTTATGATACACTCATATAAATACACGTGGTTAAGATTAGGAGATGCGTACAGAAAACACAATCAGTACAGTAACTGTCATTATTATTAATACCTGCTCCGAACAACAACCACCTACCGCATAGCAGCATAATCAATCCCCAATAGGCCGCAGCCCCAATCTTCGCTTCGGAAAACTCTCCCTCAAAAACTTGAGCAATACAAGCTACTGGAATTCTGACAGTTGCTGACATCATAAATATAAGTATAATGTCTACAAAAGATGATACTTGGTATCTGGAAATGTCCATTGATCAATGGCCCCACTCATTCGTAACATGTCTGATGATGAGCCATGTTGTAGATTGATGTTATTCGGGAGTTCATCTAATCTTTGTCGATAGGTTAGATCTCCGCGTTTAAGAATAGACCTCTTCAGAGTTTCGTAAGGTTTCGAAACATCACTAATGAACCTATTCGATGTGACTTACCTGTTGAATTCGCACGGCAGTGCCTTCACAACTGTGAGAAATTATATACGTGGATCGGTTACGCTGTGTTAGTGGAAGTCAGCTTCTGTGTAGCAGGACCAGGCTCCGATATTGTCGGACCAGAATGGTATGAGCTGAAATGAAGGTGGCGTAAAGGTCTTGGTCTTAAATGATTTACGAGTCTGTTCGGCCATGATGAATATAAAGTATAGCAACTAATGATGGAAAGAGTCCACAAATAAGGAAAAATATCACAACATATAGAAGTTAAAGCAAAAACGTGATATATAAATTTCTAAAAGGGAACACACTCACAGATAATAAACAGATGTACCAGATCACATCGGGCTCACCACTGAAGATGCCACAAGTATTCAGAATTTGACAACACTTTTGCCGATAACATCTATAACCGAAACGCGCCAACCCAGTGAAATTAGAAGCCAGAGACAGAGAGGTTTGAAATTATATTTGACAGAATATCGATATATCGAGAAGTGACTAGTCTAAGCTGGCTCGCGGTTGTAGAAGAAGTGAAGCACGGCATACTCGTGATCTGGTGCGGGTGCATGACCGAGCCCCTTCAGCTAGGTGAGTCTATTAAAGCTAGTGCGGCCAGCATTAAATGTGGAAACTTACAGATATATTTATTTTGAGGATTTATTTACCACTACAGTCTTCTGCCTTATATTTATGGGAACTTGAATGTCCGTTCTCTTTACGTCTTGCACCGTGAATTTGTTGTGTGTGGGTTTGACAACGCTTTAACCAGTAACACCTAATATGGATCGTACCCACCAAATGAAATCAAAAGACAGAAGCGAGGACGTTCGAATATATATTTGATAGGCTATAAATATATCGAGGATCGTCTGATCTAATGTGTAAGGCTAATGTAGGCATCAATGCTAAAATTGAACCTGATAATTTAAAAAAATTGGAGACTGTGCAGAAGGTTAATAATAAATATATTTTTAGTAGTATCCTAGTGAGTAGAAGTTGTATTGCTGAATTTTTGTGATTTAATGTAAGCCACTTCTTTAGAGTGGACGGATAACCGAAATAAAATTGATGCGAGTTTACACAATACAAATGAGATAATGCAGAATACTTTTAGTACAAAGTCGTAAAAGGTTTGAGTATTTCGATGTTAAGATACTTTTGATCAAAGTGAATTTGTATGACATGTCGCCCAATTAATTTGTGCTCCAGAAGGTGGATATGAAAAGTACATACATTCGTAATATGAAGTAGTGGGGTTGAAATTGAGTTTGTGTGTGTGTACACTGCATGTAAACTAGATGACATCCAAACTTGTTATATTTATTGAAAGTTAATAAATATTGTCTAAACAATAAAATTATTCCTAGGTCTTTGGTTGTTAAGCCACTAGAACTTTGTGGTGATCATTTCATATTGCTCCGCCTGCATCGAGGATCTTTTAGCGAGAGCGCAAAGGCTTCAATTTTCTAATTTTCTAAGACCCGTTGTAACTTTGCTGTCGTACTTCGATGGTAAAGTCAAACCGAAGTACTAAACCAGTATCCTTAATAAGATTATTATATTATAAAATGCTCAACTTCTGAAGTTGTGAGCTTCGTTTCGCTTCTGAGGAGATTGAATGACAGAGAAATTTCTGCACTGAGTTGGTGTGCTGAGTTGTAGTCAACATATTGAGTCTGTCGATTTTTAGCATCTGATCCAATTTACACTTCTATTAAAACTCCTTTAAAGCAAACAGAATAAGAATGATATTTCAATATTCCTTTTAGTAAGTGGATTCGATTTATGGAGAGAAAACTTTCCAAGAAGATACTTTTCAATATTAACCAATGGGTCATCTCCTTTCTTTCTACATAAACTTTCTCCTTAAACATCGAAGATTTATAATTAAGACGTAATATCTTGTATTACATCCAAATATATGGACTTTCGAGTTCGTTTTACCTTTGTCACGTGTGTGTGAATCACAAAAATTATAATTTGACGGTTATTCTCTGCTATTAATAAGGACATCCATAGCATCATCCTACTCTATTACTACATAAACTTGTATTCTACTGCATTATTTTCTTAACTATCCGTGCTGAGTGTGCGACAGTTACCCATCCCAAACAGTGCGTGAGGTGTTGTGCAAGATTACGGATCGATTGAAGTTAGACATTTACACTGTTTGATACCGGTTTGGTGATGAAGAGGTTGGGCTCTCATGCGCAAGACCGAATGCCCATAGTTCGAGTCCCATTTTCAGGATCATGGACATGCATTAATAGGACGAAACGACCGTCTAGTACTTCCAGGTTTTTGATGGTGGTTTAGACTAGATTTTCTAGTACATTCGACTTAATTATCAATTAGCTCTTTGCGAATAATAGCCTACTTGCGCGTGCTTTTGAAGGTTGTAACTTTTTTTCACGTGGTACTGTTTTATTTTGCTATCAGTTTTTCCCTTCAACTTAACATTTATTAGCGATAAATAATTCGTCACTGATAGGGTTCGATCAACTTGACACCGCATTTTGGAACTCAACGTCATACATTAATTTTGCTAGTTTTCACGCTATCTCTTTTCACTAATTAACCTTAATATATTTGCTTTTAACTAATACTGGATCTAATTCTACCATAGAACGGTGCACGTCTATTAAGTTAAATTATAACTGTCGCTGTTCACGTAATTAAACTTTATATTTACATTGCTTCCAATAATTTCCGGTCCATCTAAAAAACACATAATCTCTCCTGATGCCTATGGCACCTTCAAAAGATCTAAATCAGTCACCAAAGCGAATAATGTGAAACATTATAAACACACTGATCAGTCTGCATCCTACTCTGATCTTCCTTCAGCCATGGGCATGACATATCACTGCCTTGTATCTCGCTTGTAGATATAAATAAGAGCAGTCACATGCCGTTAGAGTTGACATCATTTGTCAGTCCAAACAAGAGCACCACATGTTGTGAGCAGTATTTAGACAGTGCGGCCGACCCCAAACACCTAACAATTTTACAATCTGCCATACTGAGTAGCGGCCCACGGAGTGAATGTAAGCCTGCCTACAATAGCCAGCCCGATGAAGTAGATCTTGAGTACTCACCCAGACATGTACTCCATCCCCCAACTAAGTTTACACAAGGTGATCACCCGGTAGACCCTTGCAACAGGTCTGTATGTAACCATATCGACTTTAAAAACTTTGATATAAATTCCAATGATCTCGTCACTAGTAGATCTAAAAGCAGCCAAACAGAACTTAGCCTCACCCAAACTATCCAAGACTTATTACCGTACAAATATTTAATCAATGTTCCAGAAAATCCCGATCTCGAAATTATAAAAAGCACTGAAAAAGTAATTGACCATATATCATCTGAAGCGTTGAAAAGACTTCAGTGTATGCAGAATGTCACTGTGTATAATATACCTGATAGTGAGAACGTAACGATTGCTAAAAATACTCCATTACAAGAATGTGGATTGTCACAATCTTGGTGTGTAACAAGAAGATTACATAAAGCACACACTAAAGCCTATTTCAATTTGGTAGTGCTACTGAAGCTAATCACCTCCTCAATAGTCAGTCATTACTGAGGCGTATTCCAACATTTAAAAAGATTAGAATCATACATGACAGGACTGCTATCCAGCGTCGAATCTTCAATGGAACACAAACTAATCAACCCAGCCTACGTAGCCGTCACACCGTTTGCCACTACACAAATCCTAAAACTCTATACACTTCCCCTACCAAGAACGGAGGCACGTCGGATGCTGCTATTAGTCCTAAGAACAAGACTGCAGATAAAGCAGCTGCAACCACTAAAGCCTTGGACACGGTTAGTCACCAACTTCTTATAGGTAAACTCGCATCTTATGGGGTTCGAAATCCTTTGCTAGCTTTGTTTGATTCCTTTCTCAGCAGTCGACATCAAATAATTAAAATTAACTCTTCATTGTTTAACGCTGTCTCTGTTAGAAGTGGTGTGATATAAGGTAGTATCTTAGGCCCTTTGCTCTTTTTAGTGTTTATCAATGATATTCGTGAATGTTGTTGTGTGGGTAAGCCCCTTCTATATGCAGGTGATCTTAAAGTAGTATATTCATTTTCCCCGCGTGAGCTGAAAACCCCACAAAAACTGCATCAGCATAGAGCTTAACAAGGTAGCACAGTGGTGCTTAAAATGGCAACTGGTGCTTAATACGGCTAAATGTGGATATGCTTCGGCGATACATCTCTCAACCTAGACCTTACCATAAATAGAGAAGTGTTGTTTAGGTTACATACAGTAGTAGACTAAGGACTTAGATACTCCCAAGACTTGTCGTTTACAGAACAGATATTGAAACAGACCTCTAAGTCTCAACGTCTTGTAGGTCACATAACTCAAAACCTTTATAACAGTGAGACACGTATTTTAATGTACAAAGTTTGTGTTTGACCACTTCCATAATATTGCACGTTTACTCTTAGCAGTGCGCGCATAAAAGATAAATTAAGGCTGGAATCAGTACGGAGACAATTTGCACTTCGTATTCTTGAAGCTGATTGTACCTTAACTTATAATTCTAGATGTAATAAAATCGGCCTAAACCCTTTATGGAAGAGAAGACTCAAACTAAATCTTATCTTTTTCATCAAACTACTTAATAAACTATCCTTTACATCAAATCATGTGATTCAATATGCAGAAACTTCTCATTATAACACCCGTAATTCCTTGGCACTAGTGAAACAAACTTATTGTAAATAATCGCTTCATGTGAATTTCTTTACCTGTAAATTTTGTAGACTCTAGAATAACCTATCACAATCTATCCGTACGATAAAATCACTCACATTATTTGTTCGCTGCGTACTGGCCCTCTGAAAATGCATTACATGTTCTAGCACCTGCAAGTGTATCTCATTCCACAAGTGATATACTAGGAACTTTGAATATTTAGCCATCTTTATTAATGCATTCTCTAAGTAAAACCACCTACTTGCTGTCACCTTATGTGAACACCGCCCCTAGCAACTTTAAATAGTTTGAATAATATCTAACATCAACAGTATATCACTGTCACATGACACATGCATTTTGTTAGACCTGATTGGCATATTTTGGTAATTACTGCTTAGTTGTTCCGTGCTCTCTGTTTTCGTTTTAATTTCTCTAATTGTAGATAACTATCATTAATTCGGTCTGGCACACGAAATGACCTTAATTACACCGCTCATAAATCAACACTGTGTCCATCTAAGAAAAATTAAAAATTCCCGGCTGATGCATTGGACCGCTGTAATACATGTACTACCTAAACAATTACTGAACTAGTATACTTAAAACTTTCTTCTATCACATGTTTGTTCTCTACATCTAATGTTACTATTTATAACAAACTGGTCATGCCTGTAAACTGGCGTGAATTATGTAATTATTATTTTCAGAATATATAAAATTATTATCATCACAAGACCCTCAAAAGTCACGGGGTCCTCGAATATATGATGGCCTACGTGACTAGTTATTATCCACAAACGTTTCACACCGACAGCATGGTTCCAGGAAAAATTACTCTTCTATGAACAACCTCCTAACCGTGATGGACAGATGGACATCTACCCTTGATCACAAAGTTGTGGTTAATGTCATATACCTTAACTTCTCAAAGGCTTTTGATAGAGTCAGTCATATATGCCTCGTCAAGAAGCTAGATCAATAAGCACCAATTAACTGTTAATTAACTGACTTGCTTCATATCTGAATAATCGACGTTTTGGGGTCAGGCTAAACACCACTTTCTATCAGGCTGTAGAATGTTCTGGTGGCGTCCCTTAGAGTTAAGTACTAGGACTTCTTTTCTTGATTTATATAGACGACGTTGGAGAAGTTTGGGATCAAGTTGATGAGCCGGTACTTCAGGAAGATCTGACTCGTCTTTAGAGTTAAGAGGATAACACCGGGCTCACTTTCAACTCTTCGAAATGTAAAGTAGCCCATCTGCGACATGTTGCAGATTACGCATACAACTTAGGCCACTCCCCTCTTAAGATATCCGAAGTTGAATATCTCGGAGCGTTGGTACCCTATGATCTGAAGTCATGTGCTAACTGTGAAAACAAGGCTTCAAGAAGACCTTGCATTAAAAACTTTGATGAGCATTTTCGGAGAGTTCGACGGTAGAACTTGACACTTGTTTTCCACCAGCTTTATTCGACCAAATTTGGAGGATGCAAGCATAACCGTTCCTCCCTCACTCCAACAGGATGAGGACATGTCGGGACTTATAAAACAGCGAGCCTTCAACTTGTTTCGGGGACTGAAATTTAAGCCTTTTGAAGAACTCAGAACACCGAAAATTTACCCATTAGGGTGTAATCACCTAAAAGGTAATCTATTAGTGACTTATAGCACCCTGAATACTCCTGGACACTTTTGAATACCTACTTATGCACAGTTTCAACATACACATTAGGGGTAACACACATAAACTAGAGAAACAACGTAGCAGAACAGATTGCAGGCACATCTTCTACTTCCTAAGAATAGTCAAATACTGGAATTCTTAACCGGCTGGAGTAGTTCAAGCTTTTTATCAAGAGTCTCTTAAGAACAAACTTGACATGTTACAAAGGACTTGAGGCAGTATCTCACCATAATTTACAAACACGTCTCTTTTTATCGTTAAGTATACCTAGGTTCCTATCTGGAGACATTGGCGATCCACTACCACTAGACACAGAAGCCCGTTAAGCGAAAGTTTTTTATATTCTACCAAGGACTATTTTGAACCATTTGACTATTATCTTTGTAAGCAATTCTAAAGCGCTAAAAATTAAATAAGAAGGTCATCAGCTATAAGCGTATTTAGCTACGAGAAATGGTATATCATTTTGGCCAGTTAACTATGAGCACAGATTTTTTGGATAATACCAATTTTGTGGGTGACTGCGTATGTGTATTTTTATATCAAAGCCAAGTGTGATGATCCAGCAATGACTAGGGTTATGATTGTCTTAGGATCTGGTAATGTTTATTTCATACTTTATGTTAGGTGGACACACTGCTGAAATGCTCTCATATACTTCTGTATTGACTTGTAAATTTCAACCACGTTTGTATGTTATCGCGACGACTGATTCTATGAGTGAACAAAAGGTTTTGGATTTAGGGGACAAGTGTGATATTAAAGTTAGTCTCAGTTTTGTATTACAAATCTCTAGTTCAGCATAAAGCGCATACCAAGGGCTCGAGAAGTAAAACAGTCATACGCTAGCAGCATCTTCAGTACCTTAGTGTCTTGTCTATCTGCGTTCCCCATCGTCACAATTTTTAGGGCGAAATTGGTGAGTTACAGAAACCTTTATTAACATTTACACATAATGGTCGATGTAAACTAATATTTTAACTGAGTGCTAGGGCTAGATCCTTCTTAACACTGGAGTAACGTATTCATTGGCATAACTATTTGTTGCCGGAAAGGATCGGAACTTTTCAAGTTCCTAGGTCATTGATTTGCCGTGAGTAGCTGCAATGCTTACCGCGTTTAACGTAAACCCGTGTGCTTTTGCCGAAACGCACCTTTAATCATTGCCTAAAGTGTAGTGTTGTAATTAATGCCACATTTACTTCATACCTCGCAAATTTACGACTTTTTGTGGAATACCTATATTACAAACAACATTTATTAGTTGCTTCACCTTAAATATAATGGTGCTCAAGAAATGGTTTGACCTTGTTCCCAAATCAAGACACAAAAATTCTGGAAAGACAAGTATAAACACCCAATAAAGTTATTGATTTTCTATGAAGGATAAATTTTTGTAGGGACTTTTAGTTGATACCTAATTGTACTTTATTCTAGAGTGTTTGTATAGAATCAAAAACTTTTTCGTGCTGTAAGTGACTAAGACTACTGTCTTATAGTCAAGGGGAATGCGTGAACTCCTTTCAAGTTTAGGGTTGATATAAACTGTTTAGGAGCTCGAAGTATGTACTGTCGCATCCCTTCTACTTTTAACAGTTTTATTCTCCTTCATAAATTTTCAGTAACCAGAAGTAAATGTTTATCATCGTAATTTTATTGACGGAATTCCCCAGTATTAATATTCCAGCCAACACTATGTGGAGTCTTTTTTACTAGCTCAATATTGTCCTCAGCTCAAATAAAGAAACTCCGCTATATGTGTAGTAGGTTAAAAAAATGTGACTACTAAATGTTTCTTCGGCAACGTTCGACACTTGGTTTTCTACATTTTATTCGTTCAGTAAAAAGACAATTGTATCCAGCTAATTAAGAAGACAAGAATAAATAATGCAATTGGAGTTTTGAGTGTGCTTAACAAATCTCAGTCACCTTGCTCTGTTGTCTCACCATAATCAAGCAACGACTTAAAGATAGATGTGATCGATTGCTGACAACCTATATATCAGATTTAGAGGGAAGCCATACTAATATGGACAATCTTGCATGCATTCACCAATGAGTAATAAGTAATCCATTTTCCGATTTTATAAACTGTTGATATCAGTTAATAGGTACAGTCAGATATAACTCACTGTCATAAAATTTTTTATTAGTTCTTTCGTACTGTTCTGCCTTTTGTTTACTGATTCTGGTGTGCGAAGACCTCTAGGAACAAATTTTTTAGCCAACTCAGTCAAGTAGATCACAAAAGTGAGTTGGGCCGCTAATTTAAGCTAACTGCTGTGATTAAATAGGTACTAGTTGATTAAATAAAAGTCATCATTCGTAATCTGGACCAAATTAAACTTCCACACGACTATGACTTACAAACTGTAGTTGCTCAGTGCGATCAATTGTCCTTATTATGACAATACATGGATAGTTACTGCATAGATCAACAAAAAAGTATGTGACTAAATTGTATTTTTTCTACGGGACACTTCAGTTCCTGATGATATTTTTTATTTATTTATTCATTTTGAGATTTAAAAACTGTTATAATCCTTGTAAACTTAATATATTTAAGCACATATATCCTTTTCAAACTGGTACTTCCCGTTGTATATGCTTTTATTGTTCATAAGATTGTTATCAACTCATTTATGTACTCAATCCTTAGTACAATCTGCATTTCACGTAGATTTTGTGTAATGGTCCTGGGACATGTATCCCCATATGCTTCGTGGCTATTTTACTCCACGTAAGATAAATATAATGATTTAATATATTATCACTTAATAATTGTGACACATCTTAATGAAAGTCATATTTCATGTTTCTGATTGCCGTATTATATCGAGTACTTGAACTTACTTTCCATCTATGTACTTTATGTTTTTATATTAAATCAAAAAGACTTGACTATTACAAGTTACTTTGAATCACTTTAACGATTGTCTATAACATGCACTTGTTATTTCTTGGATCTCTACGTTGTTGTTGTGGTGTTGATAACTACTGTAGATGACTCTGAGTATCTTACAGAAATACCCGTATCACGCGGATCTGGTCATCTTGGTAACCAGCTTTTAACAATCCTCATAGCTCTGTTATGAGTTGCCTCCAAATGCTGTGGTGCGACCAAGGGTGGGGAGAGTCAGTTCTCCATCTCAAAATGCTCTTATATGACCAAGCGTATACAGCTACTGCCAGGGAAGTCCTACTCACTGCCTTCTCGCGGTGAGGTTGTTGCTTACGAAATCGAGCGGACGAAAAACCTGGTTGATAGGTACGTAGAATCCACCTAGGGGAGTTGGAAAACCCTGATCCCAAACCACTGGTGCACATGGGTTCCAGGATCCTGAGAGAATAAGGGGTATTCGAACCTAATGTCGGTCATCGGCTCCCATGGGACTTCATCTCCTAACGTTGCTCCACTGCCCTGTGGATTGGACCTCTAGGTGAAAGGCTCAGGAAGTGGCCCCCTAAAAACCCATCTGCTTCGGTTTGGGTACATGGGCAGTATTCCAGCTCTCACACAAATCGACTAACAAAATGTGGCTCATATATGTTTGGTGTCTCCTTGTACCAATGTTTATGTGTTTAAATAAATGAATAAACTGTCAGGAGTTCGACCATTCGAAATAATGGAGCTTAATCAAGTGATAAAATAGTCCCAGGCAGTTGGCAAGATGTTATTGTGTAAAACTTAATCATTCAAGAATAACAAGTCTCTACTCTTCTGAAATAATAAGAAATATTTAGGTTTTACCAAGTATTTTATAAAACTCAGTTAACTAGTACAATGTGTTTGTTCGTGTGCACTTTAATTGCTTTTAATGTTGGCATGTCATCCTTTTAGCAAAGGATGTGGTCCGTAAGCGGAGGACCTTCTGCGCTCTTGTGTCCCTGATTTTTGCACTTTCATCCTACTGTAAAAAGTCTTAAAATCGAGACTTTACACTGAATTCATTCTCGCCCATAAAATGTATGTGATAAAAAGCACTTAAGTAGGTTGTGCATGATATTCATCTTTTCTGCTTTTTTGATCAGAAAAGTTTTGGCCTACATAAAAGGTTCATATTCAGTAGGATTGTTGGTTTAGTTAAAGAGATTTTGAGATGCTACTTTCATTTTTATTTCTTAGCAATAAATTGTTCATACATGGAATAATTAACTAAGATCCAACTGAGAAGTCTGAATTTTCATACCTTATTAAAAGCCAAAATTGTTACTTGATGGTATCCATCCGTCTAATTTCATAGACTATATACACTGAGTTATATTCTGAAAACTGATTTAGTGAATCCAGTTAAATAACCATACTGCAGTTCATAATCCTTAATCTGAAATTACATTTATTAAATATGATAAATGTTATTTATTTCCTAATAGTTTTACTTAGGGTGTTTGTCAAACAAATCTAGAAATGTAGTATCACGAAATACTTAATCACTTAAAATTGTAGTACACCAAAAGCACATAGAATAAGATAAAAAAACTGGGGAATACAATGATACTATTTTGTGTTACCGTAGTCATTACTTCGTTCGTTTTCTTTTTCCTTTGATAACTTGGTGACTAGTGTCACTTGGTAGAGTAGTGATGTATTGACAGGCTTCTCATGAACCGTCCTATCCACACTAATCTATTAAAGGAACCACCATAAACTCAGAATTCCAAACATCGTTTCAGTTTTTCTCACGTTTAATATACTGATCGTTAAAGGAAACTAATTTGCTTATGTGATTCTTTATATATTGTTTGCTACTTTTCTCTTTTTGTCATCAACAGGTACTAAAAATCCATTCAACTCTTATAATTTTTGTTGAAAGTATTTGTCGTACCAAAACTTTATCATTATCTGGGAAAATTTTATACTATACTCGTTTAGTAGATGTAATTGTTCAGTGGCCAGAATTGAAGACAAAATATCCAAGATCAATTTACTTAGGACTTTTATCGTAAACTACTGCATCCAAACATCCTTGTTATATGACTTGCATCCAGAGCACTTTTCTTTTTATATTTATAATATGTGTTTTTTGTTCTATACGATCATCGTTTGAGATTCGAAATACATTTTACATTTGGTTAAAATAATTATCACTGTTAGATCAAAAACGGGGAATGATTGTACACCTATAAACGAACTATTTTATTTCAGAAACGATAATTAAAGTTTTCTATACGTCTCGCTATTAGTTCGCTGAAAACAAAGTCCATTGTTTCAAGTATAGGAACGTTAGTAAATGGATAAAAATGCTTGTTTAAACAAGATGATGACTCTTTTAAACTGGTATTAAGGAATCATGTGACCGACAATAATTTGGAAGCACCTAATAGACCCACTAAAAATTTAAACAACAGGGTTTTATTTCGAAACAATTTTCCAAAATGTTGAAGCGTATAGAGAGAATAACACCAAGATTGTATAGTCTGGCTAAAATACATGAAAATATTTTTTGGCTCCTTAACCTGTTTTAGATATGAGTAATTTCGCCTATCATGCTACAGTTAAGTGATTAATATGAGTCTAAAAATGTTGTGATAGTGTAAATGGCTCCTTTGAACTTGTTGATAATGTAGTCAAAATGACTTTTTGATATCATTAAATGTGACGTTTCTATTCACTAAACCCTTCCTCCTGGAAGCAGAATTTCCACTGAATTAATAGAGAAACAGAAAATTTAATTTTTGTTTTTGCAATGAACAACAACCTAATTTCCTTAGTTTATTCAGTCAGTTATAGAGTAATGCTTTCTTTTCTAAGATATTCCAAGTTACGACTTATTAACTAGTTTCATTTTCGATTTATCAATTCAGTCACTATTGACTTCAGAGTTCTATTAAACCAATTTTTCACCAGAACAATATCTATTTCAAAAGGAGAATTGTAACACCGACTAGTATTACCATAAAATAACTCATTATAGTTACAAGTTAATAAAATAAAAGCTGTTACGTAAAGCACATTATCAGATGTTCAATTTTGTATTACAAAATTAAGAAAATCCCATCTAGACTAAAATTTAAAACAAATGACTTACGCTCGTTATTCCTCGTGGAGGAGCATAGGTTGCCCACCAGCTAAAACAAATGACGTATCTTACATATCAAGCTTTGATGACTTCGTACATTAAGGAACGGTATATTTTGGGATCGAGAAGTGTAAGTTGTCTGCTGCTTAGTAGAGGATATTTTATTTTGCAAAAGATCTTTTAGTATCACTCCGACTGAGCGTTTAGATCAATAATTCTGTTTGATAACCTGTTATTAGTTACTCACACCTTGTCAGTGTGTAGCATCTATTGATTAGTACCATTTATAACACTAACAATCAAAACACGTCCAAAACCCTTTTAATAGCACAAACTTCATCCTGTTTATGAACAAACTTTTAATTCAACAAATTTATTTCCTATCCATGAAAGGTATAAAAGATTAAAAATACCTAGAATCATTTTGGCTGGTTTGTATGAATAATTCATCTAATTACTTATAATTATCTATAAGCCTAGTTGTATTTGATAAAACTCTGAAACAAAGAGCTAGTTCAAACAACTTTCGTAGACTGGCATAAAATAATTCTATATAAAAGTTTGAAAATTCATTGGGGAATTATGAAATTTAATTTTAACTTTATTTCTGAAACAGAAATGAGTTCTATTTCAAAATGAAAAAAATTGAAATAAATAGACAGATGTATAAAGAATGTATATTTTTGAGTTTTCCACTAACCGAGTACTTGTTTATGATATCACCTAGAAAACGCTGTAAAATTACGCGGCACTGGATATCTGTTCCGTTCACAAGCCTCCCATTCAGGTAATAACTCTGAGCTTACCAGTGACTAACTTCAAGAATTCGTAGCTCTAGTGTGAAGTTGTCACTGGTGAAGTTCAACTATGGATTTAAGATGAATATCGTTAGTTACAATCGATGGCTTTCATGTAATATTGCTCAATAATTGAAGGTGCAGATCTGAATCATTGGGTTTCAACTCAAATGTCTAAAGATATTACGAGAACTGTGTGCCTCGCGTTCAGTTCGTAGCATTGTCTGGGATATGGATTGCTGAGGAGTCTTAAAGTTAGTGTGAAACTACTGTTTTCTAGCTCCCGCTATATCTCTAGCCAAATTCAGCTCGTGATGTGAAACATCTCCGTACATTACAAACTTTCCACCATAATACTATCCCTTTAGATAAATTACAGTAATATGAGCATAGTGGTCTGATTCAATTACTCTTTTGTTACCTGCATATCTGTTATGCGTAGACATTTTATATATTGTATTATTTAAATATTCATGTTATAAATTAGTTATACTTTAGGCACTGAATAACATGCGTTTCTTCCTTTCTGGGGCTCACCAGCTGGGTCTACTTTAATCCCAGTGTTGGTTTCCAGAGTGAAACTCATCACATCGCTTCCGACACAGGGTTATACATTAGATTTCTCAATCACAATAACTACCAACTTATGTTAGCCACTACTGAAAAGACAGTCAATCTTCAAAATTAAGCAATATCAAGAAACGTATGACAAAGAAAAACCGACCAAATATAGTCTTGAATATCAGCAAAAAACGCAAATAATAAGTAGGCATAGATCTGTAAACCAGACAAACAAATTATGATTAGGAGTATTTGAATTATAGTACGAACTAAGAATCCCAGAAATAACGTAATCGGATCAAGAAGTACTAGATAAACACGAACGAATGTATTGTATTTGGAATTCGAAATCAAGCATTCAACAAGTACAAAGGAATCATTAGTTCATTCAAACACCACATCCGCCACAGCTTAAATTAGACTCTAAGTGTCTGTAACCGATTGTACGTCTTCTTCTTAAGTTTTTCCTGTGTCTGTCCGACATTGTATTGGATAAAAACTCTGTATTATATAGAATGTACTCATTAGTATTGAAATAAACAACCGAAATCGGGACAGACTCACTTGGTTCCTGAGATTGTATACAATCCCCGTGTCGGTTGTGTACCGAAACCACTATCTAGAATTTAAAGCACAGATTCCCCAACACTATCGTCCCCCACGAAATGACGTTGGATCTTTATATCCCCAAGTTATGAATGATGTGACTTCATTTAAAACATATTTTTCATATTGAATAGAGTAAACATTGGAAGTGACTTCGTGATAAGGATAAACAGCAGTTGATATGAAATCATTCGAATTGTAATCAAACTCGAGCTCATTTAGTACTTGTGCTTCGCACTGGACAAGTTTCCCACAAGAAACAAATGCATTATGAAGACAAATAATATTTGATAGAACATCAAGATTTGATTCTTCTGAAATAGTCTCTTCAAATTCATTAAGAGTGTCATTACAGAGTAAAGGATCATTAGAAAAATCAGCATCTATCAAAACTACATCAGGTTTTCGATCATGACTAGGTTCATTCAACATATTTTCCTCAGACTTGCAAGGAATTTCGTCAGAATTAAGTGAATCATTAGGAAAAACCATATCTGGTACAATAACGTGAGAAATCTGATAAGTCGATTGATTAGAAACTGTTATTTCGCAAGAATTCTGAGTTTCATTTAACTCTGAACTGCTATATGACTCTACACTGTCTTTTGAAATCGTTGATAAAGATAGATGATCATTATAAATACTCAACTTAATAGAATCAGAATTACAAGACTGAATATTAGTTGCAGCAAGATGTACAGTAGTATTACAAACTGACTATGTCCAATATCACCACATTTAAAGCGCTTTGAATTACGAAATTTACATGAATTAAAATAGTGGAACCTGCCACAGGACAAGAATTGACTAAACTTGTGCTCATTTTCGTAAACTGCATTGCAACTTCTCAATGAATTATCTGCATAACCTTGAGTATGCACTGGGTTGGGATGACGTAATTCAGTGGAATTTTTTATATCCTCGTGAATCATTTTACGAGATCTTCCTCCTTTACCACATTCGAAATTTGTATACTGAACATAGTCTAGTAGTAGTTCCTTGAGAGCTGTGTAAGAAAGCAAAATGGGCTTTTCCGGTAAAGCCAGAGTTTTTAATAAGCTATATGCTTCTTTTCCGATGAATATGAGGAAATGTGCTACAATGTTAACACCACAAATAAAGTGACCAACAGTTTCAACTAACCGATTAGTATACACAGGTAGTGGGTGACTGTATGGGCTAAGTACTTAATTATTTAACAGCCGGTTTTTAGGAAATTTCAAATAAGTCCAACAAATAGTTTAATAACCAGGGACAATTAGTGATCATTTTCAAGAGTTTGATAATTAGGAAAACCTTACAATATAGTAGATTGCTTAGACTACTTATCGTTATATACAACTGTAAATTATAAAAACACCTGAGAAGTCATAGTTGATGGGGTACTTAGAATAAAACACGTCAAATAAAGACGATAATCAGATTATAATGTATGACACATGAATAATAAATCTGTGCAGGTGATAGGGTAACAAGATAAAATAATAAATACTTGAATTCATTACTATAATCGTAAAAATATAACATGGTTGTTCGTAAAAAGAACGAAATATTAACTTATATTGTTATATATATATATTCAGTACAAACATGCTGTCATTATTTGTAGTTTGATCGGTGTTCCAAAACATGACACTTAACCTTGTGATCCATTTTATCTGTGCGTCTACCTTCAAAAGATAAACTACATTTTCTGACATTCATAGTGTAGTTTATGCTAATTATGTTAACAGATATAAGTAATATGTAGCATAGATCAAAACTAGAACGCCTATCAAAAGAAAGTTGAAAAAATTGAACTGAAGAAAATAGAAAAGGAGAACATGAAGGAATTGAGAATTAAAAAAGATTCATGAACAATGTAAAAAAAAATAAACAACTGATGGAAGCTTTGCAAATAAAGTATAAAATGTATCATTTTGATCATTTCATAAAGTATTACTACTACTATCACTACTATCATCAGCTTTATTCATTATTATATTTTTTGTACAATATAGAATTCTCAGCGCACAGTATTTCAACAAGTTTCCGTTTCTTTCTTCTTGGTCGGTCCTGGCGATAGATATCGAGTGATCGCCAGTTAGATGTTAGTAGTTCAGTAAATGAACATCTGAATAATGTGCATCCTTTCCGTTGTATATTGTCAGCAACCACATTGTCTCTTATTGAGTTTTTTGT